TAGCCTTATGAAAAATAACTCATATTGGAACAAAAGAGGTGTCTTGCTCCAGTATTTAATATGTTCAAACAAAAAGCTATCACTCTACCAATATAGCTTGCAAGTTTATATGCAAGCTATCCAGGTAACCATGATGCACAGTATGCAGCGACTGTTTGATCAGCTGTTGCCATGTGCAGTCAACCAAATAGACTGCATTCAATGCTTCACATATGAATTATACCACCAAAATAAAGACGAGCTGGCTGGGAGGCAGGAGGCTACAAAGGCACCTTTCCTCTACCCCCTCTCCCCCACACCCAACTGAGTTATATGGTAGCAACTGAAAAACATGAAGAAGTTGAATAGTAGAAAGTAGTATTTGTAATACAAACAGATTTCAAATGAATTAAAACTTTATGGAATTTTTCAACTGCCTGAAACATGAGGTGTTGAACAGTGGTCATCACCATAACCTAAGCCTTGTAACTGCAAGATGCCAGAAGCTCTAATGAATCACAGCCAGACTCTTCAGTGTTAAGCCAGTGTTAAAAATCAGTACATCTATGATGTATTGTGCCATTTACACCAGTTATCAGAAACAACTCCAATTTTCTAGACTGGACTACTTTGTCTTCTGGTCATAGTAACAGTTCGTCGAGTGAGCAGAGTTTCTATGGGACTCCACGCTGACATTACTGGTAAGCAAGCTGTTCAAACAAAAAACTGTCAGGACAGAAAAGGTTGCACAAAATACAAGTGCATGAGTGGGTTATTTAAAAGCATGCTAGTTATTAATGTTTCAAATGCCAACATGGTGTGGTACACTCTCTTTGACCAGTGAAATCAGCAAAAAAACTTTAAACGAGGATCATGCAACATTACGAAATTATAAACCTTGGACACAAAGCAGTTCATAAAGAAATAAAGCTAGCCAGATGAAAAATCACATCTTTCTAAACCATGTCACAAGGCAGCAGGAACCTTTATAAGCAACTTAAGTTTACAGAGATGAAATAGCTATCAGCCCAGAAAGAAAATCATGTTAAGTTCAAAAACGGCTGCATAAAAATTAAACTATTTAAACTGTAAGGAGGTTAATGAAATTTCCTCAGGGACTGAAACCCAGCTGAAGCTCTGGAGCCCTCAGCATTGGAAAGACATGGACCTGTTGGAGTGAGTACAGAGGAGGGCCACCAATATTATCAGAGGGATGGAACACCTATAAGAACAGGCTGAAAGAGTTTGGGTTGTTTACCCTGGAGAAGGCTCTGAGAAGACCTTATAGCAGCCTTCCAGTATGTAAAGGGAGCTTTACATACTGGAAGATGAGGACAAATATTTAGCAGAGCATGTTATGATTGGACAAGGGGTAATGGTTTTAAAGTAAAAGAGGATATATTTAGACTTGCTATAAAGAAGAAATTCTTTACAATGAGGATGGTAAAATAGTTGCCCAGGGAAGTAGTAGATGCCCCATCCCTGGAAGCATTCAAGGTCAGGCTAGATGGGGCTCTGCGCAACCTGATCTAGTTGAAGGTGTCCCTGCTCATTAGAAGGGAAATGGACTATATGATCTTTAAATATGCCATCTAACCTAAACTATTCTGCTATTCTATGGCTGATGACTGATTTAATAAACATAACTGAGAGCTCTAATTGCATCATAACACATTCTCTGTAAAGGAAAACCAAAAGAAGGTCTTCAATCCACCATGGCATTGCTCAGCAAACTTTTATAACCATGGTAAATTTCACCATTGTATTAGAGCACTCTGTGAAGTAGCTGCTATAGAACTGAGAAAAAACACAAAGGCAAGCCACTCTCTTCTGGGAAAGGGCATTGAAAATACGGCTTTTTATCTTCAAATAACAGAATTACTTATCCACAGTTGTCCCTTCTGCTACAAAGAATGAAGCTGTGCCAGAGGGAAATGTGCCAACACTGCCCAGATTGTTTACATAAAGAACAGTAACTTCTGAAGAAGAAAAGCCTTCTCAATTGACTAAACTATGCATAAGACCTTATTTATTGTCATTAACTGCCATGTGAGATTTGTAAACATAAAGCAAACTCTGTTAGTTTATGATACCACAAGCAGCGCTTGGAAGCTTACCTCTGGGACTATCAGGGCTGTGTAAGGCAGCCTGAGCAGTGTGGGCTACTTAGTCAATGCAAACATGCCTGCTTAGCTTTTTGCCACAGTTCTCCACCTTTTGATAAGACTACCTCCATTCATCAGTTGTCCTTAAGTCCTTATGTACTCCTGAGATCCTGTTGGACAGCCTGAATGCTCCCAGGATGAAGCCAGATCAGTGGGCTGTTCTTCACAGCCTCTGGACTGTGGGCACCAGCTTTTGACCCAGACTCGTATCACTGTGGCAACTGACATTTTCTTATTTGCTGGAGACTGACATTCTGGTCACTTGCAACAGCAATGGAAGCATGCTGCATTATGTGCCTTTAAAATTATCCCTGTATTTGATGCTGCCAAGGAGTAATATGAGCAAAAAAAAAATTCTCAAGTGCATACAATGTGATTTTTTGGCAATCTCTTGATGTTACAAGAAAAATAAAGAAAAGCAAAAAGTAGGCAAGAAGATGTAGAGGACACAGGTGCGTACCTGTGGTCAGGATGACCAAGTAAATTATTTTGAACTATATCTTCATGGAAGAAGAGCACAGAATTGAAATGCTTACTCTTTCCCCGTTACTACTTTTGATCCTCAAAACTAAAAGTATCCCAAGACAGAAAATTCGCAAGAAACATCCCAAGACAGAAAATTCGCAGCGTCTGTGTTAGCAAATAGTGCAGAAGAGCAGAACTGACAAGTGTAACAGTTCTACCCTGAATACTTAGTATCCCTACTATATCCATGAAAGGGGCTTTATTTCAGACAACCTCTTGCATGGTCTTACAGGCTCAAAAGGTGAGCTCCTAGAGCATGTCTTAACTTCCAGTCTTATGCAAAAAGTTATCCAATGCATATGCTCTGATCCTGCTCTTTGGTGCACACCACAGGAAGTAGCATCAATCAGATTTACTTAAGGTACACACGTAAACCAAACCAATACATTAATGCAGATGACTACCTTCCACCATATGCAGTGTGATTAGGTTCTAGTCAAGTGCTAGTTTAGACTGAAAAATCTAACAAAATAAAGCACCACTGCAGGCGATTTCGCAAGTAAACAATGCACTGAACTTCCCTACAAAGATCTTTCAGCCTCTCCTGTGTTTAATCTTGTTTGTCAAAAACAAAAATGTAAAAAAAATTATGCAATTCAGCAATACAGGATAGAACCCCGTGGTCTGTTCAGTTTGTAACCCTGACATCAGCTTCTACACACAAACTTGGATTCTCCATCAATTATTTCCATAACACTAAGGAATCCCTTGCCCAAGGTTTTGGCACCCTAACTTACCTTTTCTGCTCTTTCCAGGGTGGTTTTCACATTTCGTTGAACAGGCTGAATGAACTTTCTGTAAAACCACCCTTCCATAATGGTTAAATAAGCTAATGTAATGATGCATTTCTCTGAGCCTTGGGAGATGGGATGGCTCCTGCAGGTAGACTCAAAAGCTTCTTATCAAATCAACTTTCAGACCAATTAGGAGTGAATCACACTCAGTGAATCAGTCAGTGAGCTGCAAGTACTGTCCCTGCTGCCTAGGCTACCAAAATACTTCACAGCATTATGCAGCTGCCTTCTGTCCTGTTTACTGTGAATTGCCAAGTGGTTTTGCGAAATATCTAGAAGTCAAACAGCAGGCTTTGCCAAACTGCCTGACTCCTTTGCAGTAGCCATGAGATTAACTGAACACAAAAGGAAGTACCCTCTGATGGCAGATACAGAGACAGATGACCAAGAATGTGAATTAAGAACTTCATCACGTCAGCTGATGGGGACATGGATTCCCTTTGCCAGCATGTGTCCCAGAGAGGGTGAAGTTGCTGGTGAGGGTCATAGTACTCCCACAGATGAATCCATTCCACTTCATTACATACAGCTATTACATTCATGTCACGTTTTGTTTTGGTCTGGTTTTTTTTCCTCTCCAAATGGGTGTCTAATATAGGACTCCAAAAACAGTGGCTTGTTTAGAAAAATATCTTTTCAAATTAGGAGTACTATGACACAGTAAATTACTATTAGAAAGCAAAGAGAAACAAGTAACTAGGGAGGTTGTATGTCTCATGTATACTTTTCTTACAACATCCCCTAGTTTTGTTTTGAAAAACAATTTTGCCCTCAGTTTCAGTCTATTTTAAAACAAATGGAAAATCTTCAGATAACAGCCCCCAGAGCAGCTGATCTGTTTTGGGTTTTTGTTTTGTTTTGTTTCCTTTTAAAGTAATTTGAAACTGGCTCACAGATGCAGTGAGAGCTACTGTAATTACACAGAGTATTAGATTACCATATAAAAATTGAAAGCAAGGCTTAGGAAGAAAAGTAGAGAGCATAGTGGTATTTCAATAATGGAAGAACAGGTATCCAAATATTAGATATAGATAAAATATTTCAATTGAAATGTAAATGTAGGTTTTGGTTCACCATAAATAAGAAAAGGCTTCACCTTTCAGATTAAGGGAAAAAAATCAATTAACCTCACTTTGATTGTAAAATCTGTGCGCCAGGAATTTAAGGGCAGCATTTTCTCAGGTAGGAGTGGTGTTAACATTAGGATAAAATCTGGTAACTTCTTTAAAAACAAAAAAGGGAAACAGGTCTCCATAGCAAAAGCAGGGACCGGAAGGCACTTTTGAAAACAAGTGGAGGAAGTCTTTAAATGAAACCTCTGAACAGATTCCAAAATTTGATTTTAAGAAAATTTCTGTCACCGGTGTCTCAATTGAGAAGATAAGCAAGTTTGATGACATAACCTCATAGTTTTCTCACAGTCGTTTCCACCCTCTTGCTTGAGGAGCCCGTCAAAGAAAAAAGGTCAGCTCTGGGCACACAGAAGAACCTGTCACAATGCAAGTTCCAGCTCCATGAGGACATTTTATGCTTCTGATCTAAACAATCTTTAATACTGGGTATGCTACACAGTGTTTTCACACATGCATTTTTAAGTTAGGATTTTTTTTAAAGTACTCCTTTTTAATCTACACCATTCACAAAAAAAAATTCAAGGACTTCAGCAGATGTTTTACTCGTACAACAGAATCTACTCCTTAGTAAATTCTCCTTGTTCCTCAGAGGTTATCATCTCTGTTGAGATGGTCTGAGATCTTCAGAGAAGCCACAGACCATTTTTTTTATACTTAAAAGAAATTAATGAAGACTAAAGTGGAGAAGATTTTCATTACAGAACACTTAAATTAGCTAGTTCTTTAGTTTCGTTCTTTGCTTTTCAACAAACCTGCATTAAAGGACACTGAAAATGATTCAGCAAAGGAAGTGGTATCTTCAGATACAACATCAGTCCCTTCAGAGAAGAACAGTGATTCTCAGGGTTGTGAAGGTCTCTGCACTGCTATTCCATTATCAGGTTTTCTTATTCCTAGAATTTTAAACCATACTAATTAAATCTGGGTAAAAAAGATGGGCAGAACTGCTGCCAAAGAGGGTCAGAGCACTGCAAAGGGACAGCTTGCATTAACATAAATAAATAAGAAATAGCAGAGTGATACCTCAGCAATGTTTGCTCACAGCAGCACAGCAGCTCTTTATTTCTTCTGCAATTACTTGCTTTGCTTATGGCTGTAGCGGATAACTCTAGCACACCTGAATGCTATGAGCACTTTCTGGTCTACAGCTGTGCACCAACTGATGCCTTCCTCACCTAAGGGTAGTAATCGCAGTGTCTTGGTTGGATGCACCTCAAAAGGCTCAAAACTAGTGACTTTCTGAAGGAATAATCATCAAATCTGGGGCAATAACAAGCTGGTCTCTGAGGAGCTACCCATTTTAAAAATCATGTACTTCATTCTCCAGCGGACAGGAGAAGAGATCTCTGCAGCAGTTTGGCACATCAGCAGGAGTTTTCAGTCTGAGCAAGGAGATACATAGCTACAGCTTCAGCACCTGGCTGCAAGGTCAATGATTCACAGAGAAGCATGTGGACAGAAGATGGAGGTGAATCAGGAGCAGTACAGAGTAGTGAAAGTGACTGAAGAGAGCTGTTTAGCCAATAGTAACTTTTATGTGTGCAAAATTTTCCAGTCTCTGAGCCTTCTTCTGGCTTTCTCCAGGTAGGAGAAAAGTTGCAGCAGCATGGAACCAGTGATTTGGTGAGGATTTAGTGTAAAAGGAAGTAAATAGAAAACTGGTTCCTTACACTCCTCCTGCCACTTGCTGCTGTCTGCAGGTAGCAAAGAGTGAGGCACATGATTTAATACGGTATAGAGCTGCTTTTCTGCTCTAACTGCTGCTTCGGAAAACATGTGGGCTGTGCAGACCTGCCATGAAAATATTCCCATGGCAACCATGAAAGATAAGGGTATGTTAAAAGCTGTTACACTAACTCCTTCACTCCAACTCGTTCAACAGAGGGAAGGTAGCTCTACTGCTGCATAAAAACATGCCACTGGAAGTGTTTTTGCTGGGAAGTTATGGCTAGATAGTTACCACTGGTTAATTTTCATACTGGACTTTCACTGCAAAACACAGCACAAGTTAAAATTTGCCATAACAGAATCAACCTTGCTTCATAGAAAAACGATCATTGATTTTTGCTGATCTCATAAACATACTTGAATTTGCAGTTTGTTACCAGAGAATCATCCTTAGGAAATAATGCCAATGATTTTGTTCACTGCATTTTGTACCTCATTTGAACTGCACGCTTCACACTTTAATATAATGGTTAAAGAGGCACCTAGAATTGTATATAAATAAGTAGTGAAAATTAAAAGCCATGTAAAAAAAAAAAAGGATTAATGAAATCATGTTTTGTCACATATCTTGCATAATTTGTTTGCAGTTTGGCAAGAGATACTACTTGGATGTGTGGCCGTATGCATACTCAGTACAGGATCATAGAATCATTTATGTTGGAGAAAGACCTTTCAGATGCACCGAGATTAACACACAGCACAGGAGTTATCACACTACATACCTCCCAACACTAAAAAAAAAAACAACAAAACACAACTGCTTGACATGTCAAAGGCACAAAAAAAAACCCCAAACTGTTGCACATAGACAGTTTATTGGGCACATGTATCTCAGAACAAAACATGAGACAGATTGACTCTGGGCAAACACAGAGGTGCTCTAGCCAGGATTAGGTTAAGAACAGCAGATTGCTACTCAGTGCAAGATACCTTCCAGACCTGCTGTCTATATATTCTATATATAAAAACCACAAAAAATTAAGTAAATGATAATAAATTTAAAATAGACATACTAATAAACTAATAAAGTATCTAAATAATCGTAAAATAATAAAATAATGTTATAATAATACAGCAAAAAATATACAAATTCTAAGAAAAGGTTAAAAATATATTAAAAAACAGTACAATAATGAAACAAAGATAATAAAATCATAAAAACAAACCAAGAAATAATAAGATTAAAAGAAATGATATTCAAATTAATAAAATAAAAACCGATAAATTGAAATTAAATAAAATTTATTTACTTTAATAAGAAATAATAAATTAAGAATAAGGGATAAACTTAACAACATTAAGATTTGATTAAATAAAAATTAATAAAATTCATATTAATTGATATCAGATGAAGTGTACGAAAATCAAAACCAATAAAATGGTGCAAGCCCCATGTGGCATTCAACCCTAGTTACGGGGACTCCACTCCACCAGCTTTACGAGGTACTCGGGACGCGGTCGCACCTCCCGCTTAGGGCCGAGGAGGAGGATGAGGCGAGCGACGGCGCAGCTTCTGCCCCGCCACACCGGTACCGCCGCTTACCCCGTCTGGGTGGCTGGGCGGGCCGACGGCTGTGAGGGGCGCAGGACGACGGCGCCCAGGCAGGCTGCGCCCCGGCTGCTGCCGGCACCCTACCCGGGCTCGGTACCCCAGGGGCTGACAGCATCCTCCGCCCTGTGCCGCCGGACTCACCTGAGATGCCGCCCCCGATCACGACCACGTCGTACTTCTGGGCCATGTCACTGCGCTGGGTACCTGCCGTTCGCTCGCCCGCTCGCTCCCTCCCTCCCGCAGCTCTAGCCCGGCTCTGGCGTCCCCCGGCTGACACCGCCCCTCCCCGGTGGTGGGCGCCGCCTCACGCCGCCCGTCGGCGGCCGAGGGCTGGCGGTGACACGCATCGGGGACTGTGCGTCGGGGGGTGAGGAGGGCTCCTGCTGGGTGAGGCGCCGCCGACCCTCTAGGTGATGGCTGACCCCTCCTCGCATTAGCTCCACTCACCCACAGCGAGAGCTGCGTGTATTGCTATTTTCTCTCCTACCTCCCAGACCGTTTGGGGAGGGAGCGTGCCCTTATTTGAGGAGCACAGCCCCCGGCTGAGGAGCGCAGCCCTAGAAGCAGAGCAGCCGCGGGCTCGCTGCCCTCGGCTTCCCAAAAGCCATGGAAATACTGGAGTCTACTTCTGCAGCCTCCCTGGAGCTACCAGAAGGGACCTGTGGCTGCTGAGGCTGTATGGACTCTGGAAAGACCCGTTAACGGCTTCCTTGAGAGCCGCTCAAAATGTGCAACACCTTGTGCCAGCCACGGTTTGTGCTGTGCGCCGCTGGCATGTGTCAGTGCTCCTCCAGATAGGTAGTGGCACTGAGTGGTCTGCCGAGACTCCCAAAAGGCTCATCAGTAGGGAAGAGGACTGGCTCATCCAGAAGCAACAGTGTCATCGAATTATCCTGGAGCCTTTAGGCTGGTCCCCTGCACACCCATCTTTCTCCAAGCTGTGTGCCAATTGACAAATGAAGTCCAGCTTTTAGGATGAAAGCCCCAAAACCTGAAGAACTAGCAAAATAAAGCCTATGATTCCAGCATAAGGGGAAGTTTGGGTTAAAGGAAAAATTGAAGCAAACAATCAACAGAACCCAAAACATAGATGAACAATATCTAGCTGAAACTAGTTTATCACTGTTCTCAGTATGTCAAGTATGAAATTTTCATTTGATTTACCTGATATCTATGTTACTTTGTGACTGTCACATTAATAACTTCAGGAGTGATACCCAGCAAACAAATTCCCCCATGATTATGACTATTTTCTGGGATGGCTGGGAGAAGAAATGCCAGAGGTGCAAGGGATGCCACAGTGTCAGGGACTGAGCCATCATCTTTAGGGCTTTTTATATGTTTATCAGAATGCTACATTTATATTTCTGAAGTTCAGGATGGTTGCTGGTAGGAGGAGAGATCAGGGTAAATAAGGAGAGAAGGAAAAGGAGTGAAAGAAGAAGAGGAGAGGGCAGTAGCCCTGATTTATTTGCCTCTTTTCTGTGCAATTTTTTTTTTTTTATTTCCTTTTAATTATTTTCTGAAGGTGAGAAATCAACCAATATACTTCAGAACTTGAACTGGATTTCTTTCTGAGGACGCTAGTCCTAAGAAGTAGTTAGCTAGTACACATATTCCTTTTGATGGGGATCAGCCATACCTAATATGTTTAATACCTAGGATATTTTACTGTATATGAAATTTGGGTCTCATTTCATCCCTGTAGTTATGGAGATCATAACTGCTATTAGGTGCTGTATCTGGCACTGCAATTCCAGATTATTTTAGATGTCCAATTCTATTTTGCACTGGTGAAGTCTGCTTTGATCAAACTAATCTTTTGCTTTAAAAAAATTATGAAAATTTGGGGGGGGGGGAAGGAAGAAAGTATTGCTCCTTACCCCAGTTTTCTCTTTTTTTCTTGTTCCATCTAAGGTCTGTTCTCTAGATCTTTTCCTAGCTGTTTAATAACCTTTCTGTGTACTTTCAGGTGATCTTTTTCTTGTTGAGGCCATGTAAGTATCAACATTCTACTAATGAAAGCAGTCTAATGAGAGTAACTACATTTTTACTTTTATTATTGCATTTCTACTTAGGAGAAAGGTGAAGACAAGAACCTCTGCCTCATTAAAAGTGTCATAAGTATCTCCCTCTCAAATCAGTTTTCTTCAGTGATACTTGGTCTGCCTGAAGCAACAGCATATGATTGATCATTTGCAAGGAGAAATTCTGTGTGCTTAGGGAGACGTGGTTAGTGAAGAAGAAAGAGGCCTTTCCGAACAGCTGGAATAAAAAGCTACCAAGAGACTGATGAGGCTGAATTAATAGCCAGAAAATACTCAGAAATATATATTCTCACTCTAATTAAAAGAACCTGTCTGATTCAAGGATGAATCAAACTCCAAGAACTCTTCATAGTGGCAGACACATAATTATCCAATGGCTATCAGAAATAATAGTTATAGAGATTATTTCAAACCCCATATGAACCACTGAAAGTTAGCGGAGGCTATTTCAAAAGCAGAAGTAGGTGATTTTATTTGGGCTGTTCACAAGGGTAGCTATGGTTACATCTATATACTTAATGCCAAGTGTCCACAATATGTAACACTTATTCCTGGGATTCCTCTGGTCCCTATCTCCCTCCTGTGGTGCTAAGGAATAATATTTTTTTTTCTTTTTTTAATGGGAGGGTTTGAAACAGAGTTGTATTGCTTTCAGCTGAGGGTGGATGGTTTGTGCCCTAGAGCCACAAGAAGGTCCATGGAAGCGTCTGAGAGCACAAAGTCCTCAAAAGGACTTCAAAAGGTTGATATACAACAAAGCAAACATCTGTGTCATTGAATCTGTTTTTATCATCATGGAGACATTATGTATTTCTCTAATGAATAAATCTGTCTCTGTCTAGAGCAGGTCAAACAAAAGTCTGGCCAAACCCAAGGCCAGGTAGGTAGTCTTTCCTTCCTCTCTCCCACAAAAAGTCTGCTCATTTTTCTCATCTCAGTAGCTTCTGCTTCCAAAATGTTTATGCCATGATGCATTTAAACATATACTGTATTCCTCTTTCTGCTTTTCTCTTTGCAGTGCTGATGCTTGTCAAGCACACTAGTATCCTCACATACTGCAATACGCATTTGATGCTGATCTTTTATACATCTGAATTTGTCTAAACTTATTTATCCTCAACAATTATGACCAGAATGGTAGACATTATCCTAATAAAGCCTTTTGATTGCATAAAATTTGATTTGATTATTATTTTTTTTTGTCTGGAAACCTCACCTCTGATCATATTAGAATTCTGTTCCTGTTTTTTTATGGCCCCATTACTTCTTTCATCCCATGTTGCTCTAACTAATTAAACAAGTAAGAGTCTTCTGCCTGGATTTTGGTGCATTATCCTTTGAATGTATAATGTTAAATGTTAAAAGCAGAGCAAACTTTCTGAGAAAACAGAGCAACTGAGAGATTCTGAATTTTCTCACCTTGGAAGAACTTTTCTGAGGCAAAGTATATTGTTTTCATAAATTCTGGTAGGCACTTAGACACTGTGGCAATGAGATGGCATAAATAGCTATACTGTCTGGGAGAAAATGTACTGATGGCCCTGGGCTAAATTCTGAGAAATTAGTGGAAAATTGATGAACACAGAGTCAAAGCAAAAGATCTCCAAATTTACAGAAACTAAGAGGTAGAATTTAGACACATCATTCATAGATGTCTGGTCAGTGGCTGGTAAAAACAGTGTGGCGTTTTAAATTACACATCCTCTCAGCTTCTGCTCCTGATATAGCAGTGCATTTAATAAGCCCACTTTTAGGTTTTTGTTATAAGTTACAGTCCCTCTTCATCATATTCAGTAGGAAATCCTCTGCTTCAGGACAAGCCAGTTTTCACTGCTGAAATTTCCTGCTGGCAGGTAATACATGTTGACATCACCTTTGCTCAAAGCATCAAAATGGATTCCTCCAGCTCTATTAGCACCTGCATCACTAAGGTGCTTCAGCAACAGTGATATAATCAGAGCCAGGAATTCTCCTAAATTCCTCAGTCTGGATGCAAACTCCCAAAGCTCCAACTCCATGTCAGAGAGCCCTGGGCATTCATCCCGCCTCCAGCCCTTCCCTGCCACTGCCCTATCCCCTACTGAACAGGGGGAAAACTTGGACACACAGACTAGGTGGATACCATGGTACACTGCACTGGGTCCCAGACCTTCATAACTGCTTCAGGGCACAAGGACTTGACAGGTCTTAGTCTGTTTGATGGTCAGAGATTCAGGCTCAGAAGTACAGGTAAGTCTAGACACAACTTTAGGCCTTCAACATCACATACAGGGAAACTGCAGAAAGAAAGATAACCAAGAGATTGGTCATTAAAAGCAAGGTTGCATCTTCCATCAGCAGGGAGTGTACACTGAGACATGTGCTTTCACGCACTTAGTGAATCTGGCACTTGTACTTATTACTAGTTTGTGGTGGAGAATCCTTTGAAGGTAGGGTGAACATGGCTTGCTTCTTCTAGTCTGCAGCCAGGTCATGCTGTTCTTCTGATTAGTACCTTTGTGTCTTCTGAATACTGGTGTTACAGAAGACAGGCAGGGTTAAATAATTTTTTTAAATATATATTTTACATAATTTCAATTTTCTTTAAAGCAATCAGTGTAGAAAGCCTGAAAGCACATCTCAGTGCTACTGAAATAGCATACAATTAGATGAGCATAAGCTCCATGCCAAGCTTTCCAATAAAGGAAAACTGCTGGAAGGAGTCTCTAGAGGTTGTCTAGTCTGTCCCTTTGCCCTACGGTGGCATCAGTTTAATTAGCAGTGAATGTTAACTGGAGAGGTTAAACGTTAATAGCCAAGATTTTTAATCCAATGTGAAAGAGCCTGACATTAATCCAGAGCTAATAAGCAAAAATTGAATATTTTACCAGTCGGATTCCATTCGAAGTAGGACTGATCATTAAATGTAAAACCTACAAGATTAAGCCCATTAGTAAAAGCAATGAGTGAATGTAAACACATTGCTCCTCAGCACACAGAGCCTAAGTGCAAGAACAGAACAAGCGTCTGAGTACCATGGTGCAGCCTGGCCAGCAGCTGCCTGAGGCCAGAGGTTGGGATCATGGGAGACCCCATGGGATGGCAACAGGGCTGGCCCTGGCAGCCCCATCCTACCCCCAGCCTGAAGCAGCTGAGGGCACCAAGGCATCGGGCACATCCCTGTGGAATGGGGACTAGTGAGGTAGGGCACAGCCGAAGTCCTGCAAGTGGGCCTGGCTTAGCTGGGTTTATGGCAAGGTAGAGCAGGGCTGTT